TTACAGGTGCTTTTTCTTACCTGAGAGCTCAGTGGGCACAGGGAGCATTCTGTCCTGACGCTCACAATAGCAACCATTCCATCCGTATTCTGAGCGCTAACTGCACACGAGGCCCTGGCCTGGGCTAAGTGCTCTGCATGCATTTCCTCACTTGGGGCCCCCTCCCTAGAGAGGATCCTCAACTCCATTTTACAGATAGGGGAGCAAACCTGCCTTCTCCGCCAGGTTGTGCTTTGCACTAAGTTCGGGTCCTTGGGTGGGTACCTTAAGCTTTCCGAGCCCACCTGTGCTTGGGACAGCTGCCCCGAGGCCTCATGCTCTGCCTGCCCGCTCCATCTCCACGCTCAGGGAGTCGTGTCCTCTGGTGAGGTTTGCTGTGGATTCAGGTTGGGCCATGTCAGGGCATTTGAGTCAGAGGAGCAAGGACCCTTTCCCCATCCCGCTCTGAGCACTTGGCCTTCCTCACGCTCCCCTCCCTAGCAGTCCCACAAAAGGCTCCTCCAGGCTTTCACTGTCCTCACTTGGGCCTTGAGTAGCAGACCCCTGGGTTTCGGGATGCTGCCACCTGGTGGCCTCAGGTAGCAGGGGAGAGGTAGTGCACTGGCCGGGTGGGTCGGAAGTGGGGCCCCTCTCTGCTTAGTGTACTGCCGGCAGCCAGGTGCAACACGTGTTTGGAGAAGTCGGGGCAGCTGGGCTCCAGAGAGCACCACCCATCAGGCACTATAGCTTCATGGTTAAGCCCAAGAGTCCCACAGACTAGGTCTGAGTCCTGGTTTTGACACTTTCCATACATGTGACTGTGGGCTACTCAGCTAACTACTGTGAGTCTCAGCGTCCTCATCTGTAAAGTGGGCTACGTTTCCCTCCTGTGTTAGGGCCAAATTCCCCGGCAATGACTTGGAGATTCTTCCTCGAGCATCCTTTTGATCTCATTATTGTTAAGAAGGGAATTTATATTAGACCCATGAGAATTATGTATTCAATTCCAAAATTATGTTTGTTTTAAGCAACACCTGGAGCCGTCTGAGAACTTGAGGTTTGTGCAGGCTGCTAGTCTGCTCTGCCAGCCGCTCTCCCCAGGACGCCCCTTCACTCTGTTGTGCTGTTAAAGGTTCTACCAAGAGGAGGTCTCATTTAGCTTGGCGCTTGGCACATATCTCACTTAGCTCTCACACAAACAACAAATTTACCCTTATTTTACAGAGAAGAAACCAGGTTCAGAGAGGCTGAGTAACTTGTTGAGATCCCACAGTTGCTACAAGAAGTAGCCAACTCTCCGACCCCAGTCTCTCTGACACCAGAGTCCTCGCCTGCCCAACCCTGTAGAAAGCCCCAGAAGCTGTTATTCTGTCCGAGTTCTCCAAGGAGGGGACACAACAGGGGGCATCTGCTTGCTGATGTACGCGCCCCGGGGTCTTGACACCAACCGGAGGAGGCAGTCCTAGCCAAGGGGGCCAAACAGAGTGAAACCAGTGCCCCCACAGCCCCCACTTTCTCTCTACTTCCTGCTGGCCTTTGGAAGATGCAGCCCGGGGAGGACTTCCTCCTGCCCGATGAATTCCCTGGCAGTTTCAGTTCTCCCTCTTGCTGGGAACTGCTCTGAACCAAGTTACACGGGGGCAATGAACACATCTCTTCTGCCCGCCCACTCTCATCAGGGCTGGGAGTGCGGACATAGCCCTCCTCTCACGGTTGTAGGGGACAGTGGGGAGGGAGTGTCCCATTCTCAAAGATGGACTACTAAGGCCTACGGAGGGACAGGACTCACCCAAGACCACACACGTAGGGGGAGCAAAGCCCCCTGCCAGGCTCCTGCCTATGGCCCACTGCCCTCTTCTGGCGAGCAGGAATACCTGAGTATCACTGAGGCTGGAAGGTAGGAAGGAGGAGGCCCTTTCCCATGGTCCAGAGATATGCAGCTGGCCAGGCAGTCTGGGCGAGGACGACTGATGGGCGGAGGGAAAAGGCTGTGGAGCGTGGCCTGCCGCCTCCGACTCAGCAGGCTCAGCCCCATGTGCGTTTACAGCCCTTGAAGCACCTCAGAGTGGCCATGTGGGTTTCTGATTATCCATCCATCCATCCATCCATCCATCCGTCCATCCATCCATCCAGCAGGGGGTACAGCTGTCTGTACTGAGAGGGACAGTGGTGCTGGCGAGAGGCCTGGGTTCCAGCTTCACTGCCCAGCCTGCACATGGCTTCTCTCCCTCACAAGCCAATCAGCATGCCTGAAATGCTGTCATTAGGGCCACTGCCTAGAGGGACAATGCCATGGATGAAGGCAGAGGTCAGGGTCATGCTTCCATAAGCCAAGGAAGGCCAATGAGTGCCAGCAGGCCACCAGAAGCTAGGTGGGGGGCCTGGGACAGACTCTCACACAGCCCTCCGAAGGATCCGCTCCATTGAAACTCGCCTCCAGGACTGCCAGACAATACATTTCTGTTGGTTAAGCCACCCAATGTGTGGTACTTTGTTATAGCAGCCCTAGGACGCCAATACACCAGTCGATACTTCTCTACAGACATAAGTCAATATTCTGACCTCTGTTATTACAGGCATTTTGCCTGTTCTGGTTTCATAGAAATGGAATCAGACGGTCTATATCATTTGTGCCTGTCTTTTGCTCTGCATACGGTTTTGCGCTTCATCTGCATTGTTTACGCCCCACTAGTCCATTCTCTTTATTGCTGTGTAGGGTTTCATTGTGCACGTTACACAATTTGTTTATGCGCTTTCCTGTCAATGGACATTTGTGTCTTTTCCAGTTTTTGGTTAATGCTTGGTTTGCTCCAAGGGCAGGTACAGTTCCCATCTCTGTGGGAGCTGGTTCCCTGGGGGACCCTCAGTCGTGGTGTCACACTGGCTGGGGCAGGCAGGGACAGGTAACTGTCTTCAGAGTTCTCTGTTTTTTCTTCTTAGTTACTAAGCAATCAAGTAGAGTATAAATACTCAGAATAGAGGAAGCCAGCTAGGAGCCCCAAATAGTTCCCAGAGGGGCCTAAACTCAATTGTCCCCCGGGGTGTGGCCTGCTGAGACCTCTGGGGCCTCAGGGGTCACCCATGAGGAGTGAGTGAGCAGGGGGCAGTGTGGCAGAGCAGCGAGGCACCTGCTGGTTGAAAGGGGTGGCCTGGCCACACCACTCACCTGTATGCCCTCGAGAGTCCCCAGGATAGGGTTTGATGGGAAGAAGAGAAAGGATTACGCCGCGAGCTCATTCTGGGGCGTTGGGCCAGGCACTGCCCTTTTCGGGCCTTAGTTGTCTCCTGTATAAGATCAGCACGTGTCCATTGCTGGCTTGGCAGGTTGGTGGGTCCCATGGAGGCAATACGAACACACTGGTGAATTATGAATAGCTGCGTCAGGTGAAGAATTAGCGCCATCGTGACACTGGGTCTCTTCTAGGATGGCCAGAGTCTACGGTGCTGAGAAAGCATCAACCTGATGTCTTCCAGACGGGCCTTGGAGTCCAGCAGAGCCCAGGAGGAGTGGACATGGGAGGTGGCTTTCCTGCTGTCCTCCTGCAGGAGGCTGTGTGAGTGGCTGTTTTCTCCCCTCCCCTGCGGCCCTGCCATTTCTTGAGATCTCAGGGGACTGCCAGCTGCCCCCCAGCCCTGCCACAGTGCTCTCTTCACAGTCTCCCACATGCACTGGGGCCCCCTCCACTGATCCTCTGTCCAAGGAGGCTCCCCTTTCTAACAGGCTGGAGCGCTTTGCCCCCAGCCGACTGGCAGGGCAGAAGGAGGACATGGCTAATACCCTTGACACAGCTCTCAGGGTCCCTGGGGACGGCCATAGAGACTGGCTACACTGAGACTCAGAAGGGAGACCATCTACCAAGGACCTCTCCTAGCAGGGGCCCAGGCTGGGGTTTCTCAGCCTCTCAGCCACGGATTGTGCTTCTGCCCTAGGAAGTCACACTTCCATTTTCTGTCCTAAGAGGAAAAAGAAAGTACCAAAACGGATGCGCAGCTGACGTTATAACCCCACAGTGTCATCCCCAGAAGTGCCGGGCTGGGACCCACTTCCTCCCAAGAGCTCACAGCAGAAGTGCAGAGCTAGAGGAGCCCCTTGGAGGTAAGGTAGGTGGAAGGTAAAGGGATTTGAACCCTCAGTGAAGAAGAAGACCTGGTGGGGCTGGAGTGGGGCCCTGTTGGCTTCTTGCCAGGCACACTCCCCAGAGTGTCTTCCCCAGTCCCATTTCAGAGGTGGCGTTGGCAGGGCTGGGTTTCTGCTTCCCCAAAACATCTAGGGCCCTGGAGATACGAGTCTCAGCTGCTCCAGCAGGGTTTCTGTCGGCTTGGGCGTGCTCAGAGAATAAATTCACACAAGCAGTGACGAAGCCTTCTTTCTGAGGGACTCTCTTAGGGTCTTTGGGCCATGGGATTGGTTCCTACGAATGAATTCTGAGTTTCTGGCTAGGCCTGAGGACTTGGATGCCAGACCTAGCCCTCCTGGCCCCGGGTTACATCACCCCCCTCAGGAGGAGGCTTTCTGCAGGTTGGGGTCAGAGAGGGATGTGGTTGGAGGTGTGTATTTGTGTATATATGTGTGTTAGGGAAAAGGGGCTGTCCTGAGGGGCCCACCCCTCACCATCAGATTGGAGGGTCCTCACCATTAGCCAGCTTCATCCAACAGGCAGGAAGGGCAGAGAATCGGGGCTCAGAGGGACATTGAGCCTGTACCACATGTGACAGGCTCCCTGTCCCACAGCCTTTAAGGACCAGAGTCCAGTTTGGGGTCTATCTAAACTTGAATTTCATGCAATTTTCATGTGTATGAGTTTCTCCTCATTTAGCCATTTGGCGAATGTGTCCCCAGACACTTGCTGTGGCCAGGCCCTGTCTGCACTGGGGAGTGGGACAACAGGCAGTGTGGAAAGTGAGACCACACCCTGCTCTTGGGAGGCCTCAGAGAGACAGGAGGAGAGGAGCTCAGGGAGGTCAGACAAGGACCCACAGACTCTGACATGTCATGCAAAGATGGACTAAATGGGGGGTTGGCCAGGTGCCCCAGGTGAGGGGGGGTCAGAGGGCAGAGAGAGGAAAAGAGTGTCCCAGAAGAGGTCACATTTGAACCAGGCCTTCAAAGAAGAGCAGTATCTGGATACAAATTATGCAAGCAAAAGCCTGGTGCCAGGAAAGTGTATAATCAGTTGTTCAAATCCACTCAGCCCTGTCCAAGTTTGGTTTCTGTTGAAGGTGGAGGCAGGACCCAGGCCACATGGGGGTTGATTGCTGTGGTAGAGAGTTTGTGCTCCTCAAATCCACGCAGGAACAAAGCTGACCATTGTAAGCAGCCTTCCCGCATATGCCAATGAGATTCTAAAGGACAAATTACTGGAGATGGAGTTGCTGGGACAGCGTGTGCATTTCATACTGCGGCAGATGATGCCGGTGGCCCTCCATGGAGCCCCCATCAGTTCTTGAGTAAGAAACCTTCCTTGTCAGGATCTGCCTTCTGCCCCAGACAGTGAGGATGGGATACTTATGGCATTCAGGCCCATAAGCACTTGGCTTCACATGGGAATGTGCTAGCTGTTTTTATTCCTCCTTCGGGTCCCCAGGCAGCCTTTCTCATCTCCCAGGAGCAGGCAGGGTTCCCTCTTCTCTGCCCCTCCATATACCTAATGCTAGAAGCTCCTGCCTCTCCCACCAGCTGGGTGCTTGGGAGAGCAAGGGCTTGTTCCCTTACATCTGCTTAACCCCAGCAGCTGGGCAGAGGAGGGCTCAGCAGGTTTCATCATGTGACTGTCAGAAACGAGGAAGGTGTATCCTGTCTGTCTGTCTGTCCTTCCCTTCCCATGAAGCAGGGCCAAACTGTCCCCAAATACAATAGGTCACCAGAACCCCACCCAGCATGCTGGAATGCCTTATACTTTGCATAGACAAGGTCAGGCATACCTATATTACAGAAAAGGAAATGAAACTTCCAGAGAGGGCAGGTGGCATGCCCCACTCACAGCGCCTGGGAGAAATGAAGCTGGGGGAGAACCCGTGGGCCTTGGCCCCATCCTGACTTGACCAGAATCATGGCATCCATGGCCAGTGCTTGGCTCTGTTTAGCTGGAGGTGGTCCGGAGTCCCTGAGGTGTGCAAGCGTGTCTGGGCTCAGGGAGCCAGAGTGTACCTGTGTTCCGTTGTTCCCAGGTTCCCGTCCATGGAAAGACCACTCACGGTCCTGCGGGTGAGCCTGCACCACCCCACCCAGGGCCCCGCCGTCTTCGCCACTGTCCCTCCAAGCCTGCAGCACGACACCAGCCCGCTTCTGGTGGGGCGGGGCCTGGACGCCCACCTCCGGCTGCCCCTCCCCCAGCTGTCCCGCCAACACCTGTCCCTGGAGCCCTACCGGGAGAAGGACAGTGCTCTGCTGGCCTTCAGCCTCAAGACCCTGAGTCGCAGGGGCTGCGTGTGGGTCAACGGGCTGACTCTGAGGTTCCTGGAACAGATCCCCCTGAGCACCGTCAACAGAGTTGCCTTCTCGGGCATCCAGATGTTGGTCCACATAGAGAGAGGCACCTCCCTGGAGGCCTTTGTCTGCCGCTTCCACATCAGCCCCTCGCCCCTGATTTACAGGCCCCAGGCGGAGGAGACTGATGAATGGGAAGACATCCCCAAGGAGCCACCTGCCCCAGCTTCAGAGCAACTGGCTCCAGGTCACCTGGGCTTTCTCCACGGCCCTTCCCGGACCGGGGACAGCTCACGCCAGCCAGGCGCTGGAGGAGCAGCAGAAATACAGCTCCAGAGGGAGCCCGCAGACGGCGAGCTCTGCTAGCCCCGCCGCCGCCAGCACACCTCCGCGGCTAAAAAGGGGCTTGAGGTATTCAAGCGACATCATGTGACGTTGACCAGCGAGGCCTGCCTGGCTAATAATGAACCGATTCTGCAAACGCGAACAGCCTGGGGCGGGGGGCGGGGGGG